GATGGATCATTAGGTGTGCACCTGGTACCTACTGAAAAAAAAATTGCTGTCCAATATATTTGTCAAAAAGTTTAGGGAAAAAAAACCACCTTGTTGAATTCTATTTTTAGAGATGTTGCTCTAAAGGAAAATAAAAATATTACAGAAAGTGATTTCCATGACTATTCCAGAATTTAACCAATTCTGAATAGTACTGTAATACCTGTACACGTATGAGATACAGATTTTTTGCATGTACAAATGGCCGGTTTATTCTAGCCCAGTGATCCTAATATTAAATCATTCCTCATAATGACTGATTTTAAAAATTCAACTATGAAAAGAAAGAATTTCAAGGAAGGTAGTCCTACATCATTAAAAACCACCTGAAAAACAGCACAGTTATTGGTCACAGCCAGTATGGCTTCATGAGAGGAAAGTACTGCTTATCGAACCTGATTTCCTTTTATGACATGGTAACTCACCCAATTGATCAAGTGAAGCCAGTTGATGTAATCTTTCTGGATTTCAGTAAAGGTTTCAATACTGTCTTTCACAGGATCCTTCTGGACAAAATGTCCAGGTCGCAGCTGGATAAACTTATCATGTGGTAGGTGAGCAATTGGCTCACAGTTTAAGCACAGAGAGTAATAATGAATGGAATAACATCAGACTGATGACCTGTCACTAGTGGAGTTCCACGGGGCTCCATCTTGGGCCCTGTGCTCTTCAACATCTTCATAAATGTTTTGAGTGCAGGACTGGAAGCGATATTAGGCAAGTTTGGAGATGATACAAAATTGAGAGGAGCTGCTGACTCCTTCAGTGGCAGAGAGGCCCTCCAGAGAGACCTCGACAAATTAGAGGACTGGGCAATCACCAAGTTCAGAAGGGAAGTTCAACAAGGGAAAGTGCTGCATTCTGCACCTGGGATGGGGCAAACCTGGGTGTTCATACAGACTGGGGAATGCTGGAAAGCAGTACCACGGAAAGGGACCTGTGGGTCCTGGTCTATGGCAAGTTGAATATGAATCAGCAGTGACCTGGCAGCCAGGAGAGCCAACCATATCCTGGGGGGCATCAGGCAAAGCATCACCAGCTGGTTGAGGGAGGAGATTGTCCTGCTCTGCTCTGCGCTTGGACGGCCTCACCTTGAATATTGTGTGCAGTTTTGGGCACCACAATATTAATTAATTAAATGGCCAGTCTCTTCGCGAACGAAGAACCGGGGAAGGTCTTTCCACCTTCCAGCCTGCGCACTGGATTTTTTAGGTGAGACACAGTGTGCGCGGAACTGAGCCCACCCTTTAATCCTGAGGTTCGTCTGCCGGGGCCAAGCACGCTTGGACGGTGGCAGCGAGGTCCTCAGGACGTAGATGGATTGCCTTACAGGGCTAACGAGCTCCATCTGCCCGGGGAGGGGCCCCGACCGGGAATCGAACCCGGGTC